ACTTAATCTGTTTACATCATTACTTTGTTTACATCACTATAATCATTTTTATATGTGAACTATGCTTATTAGCCTTTATAGTCCTCTATTCATTGTTACTTTTAAGCATCAATACACATGTTTGTGTTAAAAAAAAAAAAAAAAATTAAATTAGAAATTTTTGCATTCATTTTATGAAATGAAAAAGATTTTTATAATTAGATGAAAGTGCAATAATTTATATATTAAGAAAAGAAAAAAAAAAGATAATTATCAATTTTGCTACTATGTACTTTTTTTTTTTCGAAGTGCTATCTTCAATTGTATGCACGCACAAATAGCGCCCCATTTATATTATCAGGATAAAATGCGCTAATTTTGCTAAATTTAGTAAATGAAAAGAATAATAAAAAGGTTTTTGCATGATTGAGTAAACTTTAAATGGAATATTTTTCAATAGAAAGCATCCAAATGAATGTGATGGTAAAGAATTAGTAATTAATTTTACTTGTTAACATTTATTTTTATCGTAAAATTTTGTTCATAATTGCAAAAATCATCGAATCATAAAATTAATTCATAGTTACACAATGATAGAATTCATAATCATAGAATCGTCCAATAATGGAATCGTTTTATAAGTCGTAGAATTATAAAATTCACAGAATCTTTTTTTCAGAAAATTCACAGAATCTTTTTTTCACAGAATCTTTTTTTCAGAAAATTCACAGAATCTTTTTTATAATCGTTCCATTGTGAAATCGCAGAATCGTCGAATTTTTTCATAATCGTAAAATCATAGAATTTTTTTAGTCAATGAATCACTAAAGGTTCTTTTACAGTCAATCTGATGGTAAATTATTAACAAATAATGTTGTTCACTTACTAACATTAATTTTTATTGGAGAATTTTTTCATAATTGTAGAATTCTCGAATCATACATTCTTTTCATAATAGTAGAATCGTTGAATTGTCTCATAATTGTAAAATCGCCGAATCGTAGAATCGTTGAGTTATTGTGTAATCATGGAATCATAGAATCGTTGAGTTGTCGTGTAATTATAGAATCGTCGAGTTGTCATGTAATCATAGAATCATAGAATCGTCGAGTTGTCGTGTAATCATAGAATCATAGAATCGTCGAGTTGTCGTGTAATCATAGAATCATAGAATCGTTGAGTTGTCGTGTAATCATAGAATCGTAAAATCGTCGAGTTGTCGTGTAATCACAGAATCGTAGAATCGTTGAGTTATCGTGTAGTCATAGAATCGAAAAATCGTCGAGTTATCGTGTAATCATGGAATCATAGAATCGTTGAGTTGTCGTGTAATCACAGAATCGTAGAATCGTTGAGTTATCGTGTAATCATGGAATCATAGAATCGTTGAGTTGTCGTGTAATTA